AACCCTAGCTACTTGGGAGGCTGAGGCAGGAGAATCACTTGAACCCAGGAGGCAGAGGTTGCAGTGAGCCAAGATTGTGCCACTGCACTCCAGCATGGACAAGAACAAGACTCTGTCTCAAAAAGAAAAAAAAAGAAAAGATAAGAAAAGAAAAAGAAAGAGATGTACCATAATTATCCCCAATTTGCAGCTGAAGAAAACTGAGGCACAGCCATGTTAGGTAACTTGTCAACGTCATACAGCTATGAGGCGAAAGAACTGGGTTCTAATCCAGCCAGACTGGCTTGGGAGTATGTGCTCTTAACCACGTTGCCTCTCTTGGCTGTGTGCATTTAGACATCAGCCTTCCCAACTAGCCTGTGTGCTGGCAGCACTCTTTCTAACTTGGGCCTGACGCCCAGTGCACAGTGCCTGGCCCTGGGAGGGTTTAGTAATTGGGCCAGTGTACACACAGGCCCCGTGTTATCTTTAACAGAGACCTTATACTTGAGAGCATTTCAGGGTGAATCCTTCCTTATATCGTAAGACTGTCTAGGGCAGCGTGGTATTTCTTTGAATGCTCTGAAACCAGAGCTAGAAATGTCAATTCATCTGGAGAGGCAGCCAGGCTAGAAGCTTCAGAGCAGAGGAGTTATGTGATCTGATTTTAAAGCAGGGACGCAGGAGCTGGTGTGAAGGGGCCACCCCTGGCTAAATCGGACACAATTTGAGCACCAAAGTAATTAAGGACAGCAGTGGGATGTGGAACTATGGAAAAATAGGAATCCCTAGCCTGGGCTATATCACTAGACCCCATCTCTACAGACAATTTAAAACATTAGGCAGGTGTTGTGGTGCATGCTTGTAGTCCCAGCTACTTGGGGGGCTGAGGTGGGAAGATCACTTGAGCCTGGGAGGTCGAGGCTGCCGTGAGCTGTAATTGTGCCACTGCACTCCAGCCTAGGTGACAGAGGGAGACTCTGTCTCAAAAAAAAAAGGGGCAAGGGAGGAAAAATTGAAATCCACATGTGCATACTGATAATAAATAGATAAGGAGGAGGTGGAGGGATCTTGCTCACAGTAGAATGCTGCAAAATGCTAACTGGCAAATGTGCAGGGTGAGCTGGAGTTGGAAAATCACCATTTGTCACCATCCAAGTGAAAACTAACTCAGGCAAGAATCATTAATAGTTGCTACATTGAATTGGAAATTCTGATGAGGAGCAGCATATTTGCATGATTTTAAAGTACCTATTTACAGATTGTTTATTGGTTACAAGAGAAAAAATAGTAATTCTACTGTGGAGAAGTCAAACAACATGTTGATTGGGTGATCAAAATTTATGTCACCAATAAAGGGCAGAGGGACCTTGTGTGCCTCCAGATGTGATGCTCCAAAAAGGACATAGTATCACTTATTTAATGTTCTGTCCAGGAACATATAACCTGAATTTAGTGATGGGAAACATCAAAAAACCCCAAATGAGAAAATTCTGTTTAAAAATAGAAAAGAGGGGACTAGTATTCTCCAAAAATGATAGTATCGTAAAAGACAAAGAAAGGCAGTGTAAAATCTTCCAAATTAAAGTAGACAACAGTCATGGCTGCTAAATACAATATGTAACCCTGACCTTAGACTGTATTCTATACTAAAAGGGAAAAAAATGATATATAGGACATCATTGGGTCAACTAGAAAACGAGAAAACAGATGGTAGGCTAGATAAAATTACTATATCAATTTTTTTTTTTTTTTTTGATGTAGAGTCTCGCTCTGTTGCCCAGGCTGGAGTGCAGGGGCACAATCTCGGCTCACTCCAACCTCTGCCTCCTGAGTTCAAGCGATTCTCCTGCCTCAGCCTCCCAAGTAGCTAGGATTATAGGCATGTGCCACCATGCTCAGCTAATTTTTGTATTTTTAGTAGAGATTTAGTATTTACTAAATCTATAAAAATACTATATACTAATTTAGTATTTTTAGTAGAGATTTTTGTATTTTTGTATTTTCACCCTGCTGGCCAGGCTGATCTTGAACTCCTGGCCTCAAGTGATCCACCCGCCTCGGCCTCCCAAAGTGCTGGGATTACAGGCCTAAGCCACTATGCCCGGCCTTATCAATGTTACATTTACTGAGGTTGGTAACTGTACTATGGTTATGGAAGATAATATTCTTAGGAAATACACACTAAAGTGTTTAGGAGTAAAGGGCCGTGAAATATTAGTATTTAGAGAGGAGAGAGAGAGAGAGCTGGGTAGGTAGATAAAAGACATGCAAAATGCTAACTATAGGTGGCTATGGTGTAAGGGAACAGGATTTTTTTGTAGTATTTTTATTCTTGTAACTTTCTGTGAGTTTAAATCTTTTCCTAATAAAAAATAATTAAAAAGAATACAACTCTTAAAGGGCCCACACACGCTGCTGTGGTGCAGAGACCATGGAGGGGAATGGGCAGGAACCAGCCACATGGTCAGGCTGTCACTGCGATAATTCAGGTGAGAGAAGATGGTGGCTTAGACCATGACGGTGACAGGAAAAGGGACAGGGGGCATTCAGGTTCTGGATATGTCTTGAAGGTAGAGCTATTAGGATTTTCTGATTAATTCCGTGTGCAGTTGAGGGAAAGGGAAGAGGCAAGGGAGAGCCCCAAGTTTTCCGGCCCGAGCAACTGGAGCCTGGAGTTGTCAGTAACTGGGATGGAGAAGTGGAGGGAGATGAAGACTTGAAGTGGGAGATTGAGAGTCTGCTTTGGGACGTGGGCCTGGGTAAGTGGATTCAGGGAGCATATAATCTAATTTTAATTAAGCTAAAGTGCATAAAATGGATACTTAGCTTCAAAAGATTTCTACAAAGTAACTACAGATCAAAGATAGACTGAATACCGCAAGTGACGGTGAATTTCCAAACTACTGCATTTTTGGTCGGTGAGACTGTAAGAATGGTGAACAAAACTCTTCTTTGTTTAGATCTATGTATATTTGTGAGGGGTCTCTTCCTGCAATGGAAACCTTACATTGATGATTAAAATATGCTGAATTTAAAATCAGACCCCAGAATAACTGTAATACAAGATGTTAAACCAATATTTTAAAATATAATGAAACATATTCAATCACATTGCGCTTGCCAAAAAGAGCAAAAATATTTTATTATATTGTATAGAATTTATTAAAGAAATAAATAATTTAATAGATTTATTTCATCTTTAATTCAAAATGGGTATTCACTTTTTTGTGTCTGTCCTGTGATATGAACAATAATTCCGTCATGTGTCATTTAACGATGTGGACATTTTGTGAGAAATGCATTGTTAGGTGATTTCATCATCATGTGGACGTCATAAAGAGTACTTACGCAAACCTAAATGATATAGCCTTTGTTCCCAGGCTATCAGCTTGACAGTATGTTATCGTACTGAATATTGTAGGCAATTGTAACATGATGGTTACACAGTATATGGGATCACAGTATATGTGGTCACTTGACATTGACTGAAATGTTTTGTAGCACGTGACTCTATTTTCATAAAGTCATATCTGTATGTAATCTATAAATTTAAAAAATACATAAATGGGGGCATGCTCAAAATTTGAATCACTAAATGGAGAGATCAGAAAAGTTTGGAGACCTTTGGGTTAGAATATAATACTAATTCCAGCCAGATAAGGTGGTTACCTTTGCCATCATCTGTTCCCTCCCAGGAAGGGTATGGTGTGGATGGAACAGTATAGATTCAGACCCATTGCTAGGGACCCCAGCTCATTGCATATGTATCCAGTGCATTAAGATAATACATCATCTCATGGAATATTCTGCAAGTTCTAAAAAGAATAGATCAATTTGAATTGATATGGAAAGATGTCTGAGACACAATAAGTCAAAAAAGCAAGTGATAGAACAATGTACAGTGTCAAACAGACAAATGATACACATGTGCTCTGTATTCACAGAAACAGGGGTTACCTGTAGAGAGTGGAGAAAGAAATTTGTTTTTAATGTACTGTTTAATTTAAAAAAACATAAATATGTATCAGTTCAATATTTAAAAAGTTTAAGATGTTTATCCTCTTTGAAACTCCTTTTATGATTTTATCCTGAAGAAATAAAGATATAATAACTATTTTGTACTAAGTTGATCATTGTGACATTATAATGGTGAAAAATTAGAAATAACCTAAACATCTAGCATTTATGGTTAATATTGGGAAAATGAATATAATTATAATTATATAATTATAATATAATGCAGTCTTTTAAAAATCATGCAGTCTTAAAAATCAGTCTTTTAAAAATCAAGTTTCTGAAAATTTCACCAGATGGAGAAATGCTGAAATATGATAATTAAATTCAGTATTAATCTCAGTGTAAAATCTTTATTAATCTCCATGATGTTAAAAATGCATAGGGAAAAAAAAAAAAGCCTAGAAGAAAATATTCCCAAATGACAACAGAAGTTGCCTCTGATAGTGAGATTACAGGAGATTCTTTACTTTCTGGACCTCTATATTTTCATATTCTTTTCATTTCTTTCTGCAATGAGCATGCATTATTTTGTAATGTAAGAGAAAAAGAAAGTAAAATACTGAGAAAATTATGACGTGCATTTCTGGCATGAGTCAGGAGCTGAATTTTCATGTTTAAATTAGTTTCAGAAACACAGGAGTGGTTTCTAGGCAACCTGCTTGGGAAATTATGTTCATTTCCATTGTTGCTGGAGTGTACGTGAGTGTCTCAGAAAATGTGAGAGATGAACCTTTGCAAAAGCAGACTCCTGCTAAGGAAAAACAAGCTTTGCCACCCAGTTTTGGTCATGGGGACTTGAGTTACTGTGACCTCATAGGCCCCTAGGGGCCTGAGAATTTTCTTTCTTTCTTTCTTTTTTTCTTCTTCTTCTTTCTTTCTTCTCTTCTTTCTTCTTTCTTTCTTTCTTTCTTTCTTTCTTTCTTCTTCTTTTTCTTTTTCTTCTTTTTTTGCTGCTTGCTTTTTTTTTTTTTTTTTTTTTGCCAAATAGTGATTGATTTTAATGAGGATTGCCATAGGTAGGTACAGTGCATTAGACATTCAAGCCTCTGCATGAGGTGTGGGAAACTGAGAGGGGAGAGAGGATTAAGCAAAAATCCCCACTCTGTGCCTTTGCTGAGAATCCAGGGCTGTAATTCAGGCCACTGTAAGGCTTTACAAGATGGATTGTAACTCAGGATGTGAAAAGATTGCCTCATCATCATGTGAGTCATTTACTATTATTATAGACAATCCTGCTGTGCTAAAGGGCTTTTAATCAGAAGGAAACACTGAAAAATGGAATCAGGGCTAAGAAACCCTTGGCCCAGCCTGATGACTGTGGAGGATGGGCTGAGTTAAGAATTTTTTAGCCTCAAGGGAGATGCGTTCCTCACTAAGGGTTTGCAGAAGGTGCAGAAGGTATTGTTCTCAGCCCAGGGTGTGTATTTTGTTGACCTTGACTGCGTTTTTCAGCAAGAAGGAAAGGCATTTTGCCTGATAAATGGAATCGGAGCTCTGCGTCTCGCTCCTAGGCCCCCTAGTGGTTGTCTTTTGCAATTAAAAAAATGAAGTGACTTGAAGTCAGCAGCAGGCTCCTTGGGTAACGATCGCAGGTGACTAGAGTGTGTTGCCTTTGACACTGGCTCCCCCAGACTTCATCAAAGCTCAGGCGAGAAGCTTTGAAAATCAGGAGCTCCAGAGGAACAGACGCATTTCCTCACAGAAAGTGGGACAGGAAGGCAGGAACCTTCCGTTGTGGATGGTGGAGAGCTTGTTCTGTCTTCAAACTTCTGAACCAATATCCTGCATTCCATGTATGTGGCTTATGGTTCTGACCACTGGTCCTTTAAAATGACAGACCCCTGGGCGGGGCGCGGTGGCTCACGCCTGTAATCCCAGCACTTTGGGAGGCCGAGGCGGGCGGATCACGAGGTCAGGAGATAGAGACCATTCTCGCTAACACGGTGAAACCCCTGTCTCTACTAAAAAAAAAAAAAAAAAAAAAAAAAAAATTAGCCAGATGTGGTGGCCGGCGCCTGTAGTTCCAGCTACTCAGGAGGCTGAGGCAGTAGAATTGCTTGAACCCGGGAGGTGGAGCTTGCAGTGAGCTGAGATCGTGCCACTGCACTCCAGCCTGGGCGACAGAGCAAGACTCCATCACACACACACACACACACACACACACACACACACATGCACGACAGACCCCTGGAAGGTAAATGAAGAGGAGGACCAACATTGACTGCCCCTCCTTATCTGGCAGCTCTTGAGGGCAGGCCCTTCTGTTTTCATCTTGTACTCCAGGGCTTATCAAAAGGGCTTAGTATAAGTAGACTCCACAGATGCTTGTGGTCTGAATGATACATGGAGCCCAGTGGGGTAGACAATATTATTCCTTTCACCCATGAGGAAACTGAGGTGCAGAGAAGATTTTTTAAAAATGCCTAAGATCTCTCACTAATAAATGACAGAACAGACGAACTCCAGTCCCAAATTCCAAAGGCTTTCTTTCTCTCAAGATGCACCCCCACGCCTTCACCATGCACTCCATCTTGCTGGTTCAGTCTGTCAAGTGAGAGTCTCGTTTTTGGTCTCTGCCTCCTATGGATCAGTCCACCCTGGAGGCCCAACCCTCTTTCCCTTCTCTGAACTTCTGGTTCAAACCTCTCATTTGGCAGTGAGTCACGCCTTTAAGGAAGAGTTGGCAGGTTGCAGTGGCTCATGCCTATAATCCCAGCACTGTGGGAGGCTGATGTGGGCAGATCGCTTGAGCTCAGGAGTTCAAGACTAGTCCGGGCAACATGGTGAAATCCCTGTCTCCACTAAAAGTATTAAAAAAAAAAAAAAAAAGGAGTTGGATGTGGTGGCAGTGCCTGTGGTCCCAGCTCTCTGGAGGCTGAGGTGGGAGGATTGCTTGAGTCCAGGAGGCAGGTTGCAATGAGCTGAGATTGCACCACTGTACTGTAGTGGGTGACAAAGCAAGACCTCGTCGGAAAAAAAAAAGGGGGGGGGGGCTGGGGGCGGTGGCTCACGCCTGTAATCCCAGCACTTTGGGAGGACTAGGCAGGTGGATCACCTGAGGTCAGGAGTTTGAGACCAGCCTGGCCAACATGGTGAAACCCCGTCTCTACTAAAAATACAAAAAAATTAGCCGGGCCTGGTGGCAGTCGCCTGTAATCCCAGCTACTTGGGAGGCTGAGGCAGGAGAATCGTTTGAACCCAGAAGGTGGAGGTTGCCATGAGCTGAGATTGCGCCATTGCACTCCAGCCTGAGGGACAAGAGCGAGACTTCTCTAAAAAAAAAAGAAAAAGAAAATAAAAAAAAGAAATAGTCTTCTTGCTTGCATTACTTATTTAACTTTTATTGTTATTGTTATTCACCTTTTGTTAGAAATTTGTCTTTTTCCTCTAAATATTCCATAATCACCTTGAAGGACAAGATGATGTATAGTTAACTCTTGTGAACTCTCTGCCCAGCATTCAGTACATATTTGCAGGATGAGTGGATTTTGCAGCACTGTTCTGATCAGAACTCACCTCTGAGTGCCTCTTTCTGCTGGGAAACTAGGAAATATTTTTGTTTTTGTTTTTGTTTTTTGAGACGGAGTCTTGCTTTGTCACCCAGGCTGGAATGCAGCGGCCAGATCTTGGCTCACTGCAGCCTCTGCCTCCCGGGTTCAAGCGATTGTCCTGCCTCAGCCTCCCATGTAGCTGGGACTACAGGTGCCCACCACCACGCCCAGCTAATGTGTGTATTTTTAGTAGAGACGGGGTTTCACCATATTGGCCAGGCTGGTCTCGAACTCCTGACCTTGTGATCTGCCCGACTTGGCTTCCCAAAGTTCTGGGATTACAGGCGTGAGCCATCGGGCCTGGCCAGAAGTGGTTTTAATTTTTATCTTAAAACATGTATTCTCATCAAAAAGGTGACCCACTCCCCTCTGCTGAGGGGCTTACAACCTAAGGTAAGTTAAATACAGTTCTCTTTTCTCCAGACGCTTAACTCTTGAGCTTGTACTTAGCTTGGCCATTACTACACTGGATTTAGGTCAAAGGTAGAATCTTTTTTTTCCTTTATTTTTATTTTTATTTTTGAGACAGAGTCTCTCTGTCGCCCAGGCTGGAATGCAGTGGTGTGATCTCGGCTCACTGCAACCTCCACCTCCCAGGTTCAAGTGATTTTCCTGTCTCAGCCTCCCGAGTATCTGGGATTACAGGCGCCCGCCACTATGCCCGGCTAATTTTTATATTTTTAGTACAGGTGGGGTTTCGCCATATTGGCCAGGCTGGTCTTGAACTCCTGATCTCAAGTGATCTGCCTGCCTTGGCCTCCCAAAGTGCTGGGATTATAAGCATGAGCCACTGTATCCAGGCTAGGTCAAAGGTGGAATCTAAATTCATTTAGGTCCTTCCATTTTGACTGGAATCTGTCAGCTCCCAAACACAGCACATCCCTTCTGCAACAGGGATCCACTCTGACAAGCTGGGTCACAATGGGGCTAGTTTCTCTGCCAGGTGCATTTACACCCAGGGTTGTTTCATCTTGCTCTTAAGGCTACCCTCTAGGGAGCCATGCTTGGCACAGGTGTGTGCACAGTAAGGTTAAGACCCAAGTTAAGACACTCAGCTGTCACCATCCTCTCACTGTGGACACCAGGAAGTGTCACTGCCCAGGGAAGGTCAGCCAAGACTGCCTGGGGAAGTGTGGCATGGGAGAAGGGCCACTGCCAATCAGGAGACCCCTGTCAGGCCTGGCTCTCACCACCACAATCATGTATTTCATGAGCATTTATTGGACACCTCTTGTATAGCAAATACTGGGGATACCAAGACAAATAGAGCATCTGAGAGATGCTCAGTCTGGCCGGGGAGACAATAGGTAAACAGCTGAGTAATGGAATGGGCACTATGATAGAAGTATGTACCAGAAACCACAAGAACATAGGAGAGGAAGCACAGAATTCTGCCTGGGAGGTTGGAAAGGGCTTTCTTGATTAGTCTTGAAAGAGAAGCTGTTCACTGGTTGGGCATGGAGGGTACAACTATTCCAGGCTGAGGGCAACATGGAAAGAGCATGGAGGCCCGAGAGAGTGCAGCAAATCACCTTGCTATTAGAGCTATGTGGGGCCGGGTGCAGTGGCTCATGCCTGTAATCCCAGCACTTTGGGAGGCCGAGGTGGGCGGATCACCTGAGGTCAGGAGTTTGAGACAAACTTGGCCAACATGGCGAAACCCCGTCTCTACTGAAAATACAAAAATTAGCCAGGCGTGGTAGCAGGTGCCTGTAATCCCAGCTACTCAGGAGGATGAGGCAGGAGAATCACTTGAACCCAGGAAGTGGAAGTTGCAGTGAGCTGAGATCGTGCCACTATACTCCAGCTAGGGCGACAGAGCCAGACTCCATCTCAAATAAATAAATAAATAAATAAATATAAAAGAAAAGAAAAGAAAAGAAAAAAGAAGAAAAGCTATGTGGGATGACAGGCAATGCATCTGGTGAGGAAGGCGGGGCAGAGTGTGAAGGGTCTCCTATGCCATGACTTAGAGCAGGGCCTTCATCCTGTGGATGATGGGAGACATGGAAGGATTTCAGATGGGGAGGGGAGTGTAACATGGTCAGAATCCAAAACTTCGATGTAACAGCAATGTGAGTGGGGACTAGAGGAAAAGGAGACTGAAGGAAGAAGGACCAGCCCCAAGATGGTTTTCAATAGTCCAGGAGATACTACCTTGTAGGGAGTTGGGGTGATGAGAGGGATGGCGTGGGTTTAGCAGACAGGACTGATGGAGCCTGGTGGTGGATGGGATGTAGTAGTATGTGAAGGGAATCTGGGACAACTCCCAGTATCTGGCATGGGGGACTGGGAAACGGTGGCTTCCTTCAGCAAAACCAGGAACCCACGGCAGGCCAGGGGAAGATGGTGAGTTCCACTTTGGCCACATCTGAAAAGCTATGGAACCTCCAAGCAGAGCTGTCTAGGAAGTGGTTGGTATGTGAGAGTCTGAGCTCTGGGTAGATACTGGTTTTGGATGTAAAAAGGCTGGATCAGGTTTCTTTCTCTATAGACATTCAATAAACATTGTTTTGAGTAGCTAATTAAGAATTACAGGGCACTGGGAAAACAGAAGGATGTTGCAATGTAAATGTGGATGTTCTTACAGTAATGGACTGATGGTTGCAGAAAAGCTCAAGCTAAATAACACTAATTTTTCAGCTATAAATAAACCTGCCTCTGCAGTTGGGGTTTTCAATTACGCAGGAAAAAGAAATGCAGCCATGGAAACGAGGAAGAGAGCTATGCAGAGGGCAGATTGTGCCTGCAGGGCAAAAATGTTAGCACGTTCTAGCCAAAATGGATGGTGCAGTATAGTCTGATCTGGTGGAAAAGAAATTCAAGTCTAAAGTCCTGGGTTCGAGTAAGAGTTGAGCGTCTGTCATAGATTATCAGACATGAAGCAAACGTTTGCTATCTACTTTTAGAGATGTCGTCAATGTTGTAAGCTTTTTATGTGTATTATCTCATTCAATCCTCAGAACAACCTCATGGTAGAGCCTTTGTTTTGCCCCCTTTAGAGATGAGTAAACTGAACGCAGAGAGTTTAAACAACATTCCCCCGGCCACCAGTTAAAACGTGGCAGTTGGAAGATTTGAACCCAGCCAGCCTGAACCCAGAATCCTTTCAGGGACTCTTCACTACTCCTAACTATGCTATGCTGCCTTTCCAGGCAAAAAGCTGGGCAATATCACTTTGCACAGCCTTCATTTTCTTATCAGTCCATGGAGTTTTGTAAAGAGCAAGGGGCATAATTTAGATTAAGGCCTAAATGACAGATGTGTATTTGCATTGGGTTCTCTATGATTTTGGCTCTTCAAAGGATTAGCATTTAAAGTTTTGCTCCAAATGTTCTTTTCAAGGAAACCTCTGGGAGGTCCCATAATTCTGTGACTTGGTGTCTGCACAACACAGCAGATGACCTGAGCAGCATTCAATCAGTGATCACTGTTTATTAAACTCAGTGTCACAATAATGTTCATGGGCTCACAAGTAAGAGAGACCTCGGTTCTACCCCAGCGCTGCAACTTGGACATGCTACTTAAAACTCTCCAAGCCTGCCTTCTGTAAATGGGATAATACCAGAAACCTTTGCAGGGGTATAAAGATGACCATGGCAAACTGTTTCCATGGTCACGGAATTCACAATCCAAGATAAAAGAGTCAGTAAGCACACAGACACACAAATAGGCAAGCAAGGGTTGGAGAAGCACATTCTAGGAGAAAGGAACCGCAGAAATCTTGCGTTGGCAGCGACTTGACACGTTTGATATGCTACAAGGTCAGCAAGACCTTCTCATAAATTTGTGAAGTAATTAGCATTCTTTTAGTCAACAGTCAGCATTTCTCTGTGTATGCAGTACATTTATAACTAATAAAGTAAAACAAGCTTTTAAGAAAATATTTTTTCCCAAACATTTAAGTGTTAAATGCATGCCTAAATTAAGCTCTTTTTTTTTCTTAATTAAAATTACAACACAAATCCACTGGATCTTAAATACATTAAACGCCTTTAAAAACTGGCACAATATACTAGTTATCACAAAGATTACAGAAATTATGATATAACATTGTAACTTTTTTTTTCCAGACAGAGTCTTGCTCTGTTGCCCAGGCTGGAGTGCAGTGGGGAAATCTCAGCTCATTGCAGCCTCTGCATCCCAGGTTCAAGCGATTCTCCTGCCTCAGGCTCCAAGTAGCTGGGAATACTGGTGTGCGCCACCATGCCCAGCTAATTTTTGTATTTTTTAGTAGAGACAGGGTTTCACCACGTTGGCCAGGCCGGTCTCGAATTCCTGGCCTCAAGCAATCTGCCTGCCTCAGCCTCCTAAAGTGCCGGAATTACAGATATGAGTCACTGCACTTGGCCCATCATTGATTTTGTTACTTGTTTTTTGATTTGTTTGTTTTTATTGAGATGGAATCTTGCTCTATAGCCCAGGCTGGAGTGCAATGGTGTGATCTCAGCTGACTGCAACCTCCAACTCCTGGGTTCAATTGATTCTCCTGTCTCAGCCTCCTGAGTGACTGGGATTACAGGTGTGCTCCACCAAAGCCGGCTAATTTTTTTGTATTTTTACTACATATGGGGTTTCACCATGTTGGCCAGTCTGGTCTCGAACTCCTGATCTCAGATGATCTGCCCACCTCGGTCTCCTAAAGTGCTGGGATTATAGGAATGAGCCACCATACCCGGCCCATCATTGATTTTTAAAACTGCTAGTATCATGAATTTAAGACTGTTTGTCATCTACAATGATGATAAATATGCATAAATTTAATTCTCATTTTATTTTATACCTTTCTGGGTTTCCTATTTCTATATCAGTTTAGGATTGCAAAAATAATATGATCATCCTTCTTCCTCTCCCTCTCCCCCCAAATTCAGACTGACTCAACTTGCAGATTCTGAGTTACAAAAGAATTGATTCTTGGTACTGGACCTATTCATTCAAATCTGCACAATCAATCTTTAGGTTGGGCCCTTTGGAAAAATAGAATTTCGTTTCGGATGTCATGGAACTTTCAGGTCCCTTTTCTCTTCGAATGGAGTTTGAGTTTTAGAAACCAGAGGCATGTAGTCTTTAAATTTTTCAAAATCAACTTCCCTATCCCAGTTCAGCCATTATAATATATTGATTTGGTCTGTTGGTGTGATTGATAATTTAGGTATGTTTTATCAATATCTCATCATAATTATATGATCATCTAAACCTTGCTACTCAAAGTGTGGTCCATGGGCCAGCAGCATCTGCATCATGTGGGATGCAGAATCTCAGCCTCAGTCAGTCCTACTGACTCAGAATCTGCATTTGAACAAAACCGCCTGTGATTCGATGGCCATTTAAAGCCCAGATGACTCATAGAAAGAATGCAGCTACCTAGATATGAGGGATGGAGCCTGTGGCTGGCAATCCTCTTCAGGACATGCAACTAATTTGACATCATGGATAGTTTGAGGTTTCATTATAACTGCTAAGATTTTCTTCTACCTTGACCAAGAGAAGAAGGCTGGGGACTGAATCCTGAGAAATCCAACATTGAGGGAAGAAGCAGATGAGGAGGAATTGCCCAGGAAATTAGAAGAAAAGCTGCAGTTTTACTGCCGTGGAAACCCAGAGAAATGACTGTACTAAAATGAGTAGTGAGCACCTCATTGTGAACATCGGCCATGTTCCTATCGTGACTGTTATGATTAGCAATTTTAAAATGAAGAACAAATGCTGTGTTAGAGGAGCTGGAGAAGCTCATGGAGTCTTATCACAGAGGCCTCTCCCAAGAGTCATTTTCCTGGACCTCTGGAAGAAGGATCGATGGTCCCCCACGGTGTCGAACGAAGTGCTTATTTGCAGAACAACTCACAAAAAAGTTAAATTCAGAGGAAATGGTCTGTTCACTGAAGTGTTACATTTTCTTCTGAGAGGGGAGGTGAGGATGTGAAGGGACAGGATGACAACAAGCCGAGGTAAACTTACTTTGAAAGAATAGTACAACCTTCCCACTACTTTGTTTTCTGGGCCCCCCATAGCACTTCATGCACTGATTTTTTAAAAAACATATACAAATGGTTTAAATATTGTTTTCAAAATTCCCTACCTTAGGCTGGGCGTGGTGGCTCACGCCTGTAATCCCAGCACTTTGGGAGGCCAAGGCGAATGGATCACTTGAGGTCAGGAGTTCACAACCAGCCTGGCCAACATGGTGAAAACTTGTCTCTACTAAAACTACAAAAAATAAAAAAAAATTAGCCAGGCATGGTGGTGCGCACCTGCAGTCCCAGCTACTTGGGAGGCTGAGGCGGGAGAATTACTTGAACCCAGGAAGCTGAGGTTGCAGTGAGCCGAGATGACACCACTGCACTCCAGCCTGGGTGACAGAGTGAGACTCTGCCTCAACAAAAACAAAAACAACAAAAAAATTCCCTACCCTAAAGAATTCGGTAAAATCTAGTCCTCCAAACCAGGGAAAGAGTTAGTTCCTGGAATACTCTATTTTGATCTTGCAGAATTATACTCCATTAGAAATTAATCCGGATAAGGTACGAGAAAACAATAAGGTAGGAACATTCTAGAAAGTGTATTGATTAGGACAACCTGACTCTAATAATCTATTTCTTAGCTTAAATCTGTTAATAGATTTTATTATCATAAGCACTTGGCTGTTGGCCAGAAATCCTGGATAAATGGGCGGATCACTGTACATTTGGTATTCGAAGCTGTTACATTTCAAACTGTTTTTTTTTTTCCTTGTATGTGCTGTCTCTTTAGAGCTGGTTAAAAACAGCCGATTTCACATATGACGTTATCTGCAGTGCCCTGTGCAGAGGCCTGCGGGGAGTTTACAGAGACATCTGGTGGCTGAGAAGGTGAAGTACCTTGGCTTTGTCAGAAGATAAAGGATTTGAATTGTGTCTAAATTTGGTTTCTTTTTGTGACTGAGACTTTCACTCTTTTCTTAATTATTTTAGCAGAATTGCACATTTAAAAAAAAAGACTTTGATTTTTAAAGATTATTTTTAGGGCTTTCACTCTTTCTTTCTGAAAAAAAAATCATCAACCAGGTGAATTGACCAGTTCCATCAGCTAGGCTAAATCTCATCAGGGCCAGGACCAGAGTGAGGCAGAGAGGCACTTGCTTCCACTGCACATTTAAGGGGGAGCCAAAAATATTAGTAATGAATATAGAAATTTGTTTTGAGACAGGGTCTCTATCTGTCACCCAGAGCAGAATGCAGTGGTGTGATCATAGCTTACTACAGCTTTAAACTCCTGGGCTCAAGTGATCCTCCCGCCTCAGCCTCCCCCATGTGGGGAGGACTGAAGGTATACGTCACCATGCCTGGTTAAAAGAACCTTTTTTTTTGGTAGAGATGAGGTCTCATTTTGTTGCCCAGGCTGGCCTTGAAGTCCTCAAGTGATCGACCCACCTCGACCTCTCAAAGTGTTGGGATTACAAGTGTAAGCCACCATGCTTGGCCTTAATACAATATTTCTAAACATCAAAATTAATGCAAAATATTTCATCATAAATAAAAATACCAAAGTTTAAAAACAGGATTAGTGGCTGGGGACAGTGGCTCACGCCTGTAATCCTAGCACTTTGGGAGGCTGAAGTGAGTGGATTGCCTGAGGTCAGGAGTTCAAGACCAGCCTGGCCAACATGGTGAAACCCTGTTTCTACTAAAAATATAAAAATTAGCCGGGCGTGGTGATGTATGCCTGTAGTCCCAGCTATTTGGGAGGCTGAGGCAGGAGAATCGGTTGAACCTGTGAGGTGGAGGTTGCAGTGAGCTGAGATCACGCCATTGTACTCTAGCCTGGGCGACAGAGACAAATTCTGTCTAAAAAAACAGACAAACAAACAAACAAACCAATACGAACAACAACAACAACAAAACAGGATTAGTATTGCCAATGTTCTCTCTCTCTCTCTTTTTTTCTTTTTGTTTTTTCAGGCTCCAAGATGGCTCTGAAAGGCACCGAGAAAACCTAACGTATCTGAGGGCCTAGCTTCTGGCCTGGCTTTTACGTGGTCAGCGGATGTGCGTCCATCCCCCCTGCACTGGTTTCCCTTGTCCTTTCTGTGGCTCTCCTGGATTCCTCTCGTTCAGCTCCTTGGTGTACAGAGCCTATGTCCATGGCGATGGTGAGGTAAATGAGAAGAAGAAATGGAGAAAGTTAAAGTGTCTTCGAGGAAAAAACTTGGGAATAAAATCTTCCAGTTTTCCTGCTTTACCTTTCAATACCTTCCCTGCTTCCTTCCAAACACGCTTCCAGAAGCAGGAGCCTAGGTCATTCATACCCACGGAGCTGCTCTCAGCTAAGTAGGCCTAGCCAAAGAGACGCTGAGGGCAGGTGGGGTGGGAGATGGAGCAGTGCGTTGCTTCCTGGGAGAAAGCACCTCCTTGCCTCTTTTCGGTTTTAACATGTCCCTTTTAGGGACATGCCAGGACAGGGCAGAGGATGGGGGAGCGGGAGATGAGTGAGGTCCTGGAGCCATGGGGCCATGCTGCTTCTCAGGGGGCAGAAGCTGTGGGAGAGGTTGGGGGCCGGTAGCTCTCAGAATAGCCTGGGAAGGGTATCCACTGAGTTTGCACAGTGTTGTCTCCGAATCTCCCAGCTCCCGTTCTCTATGATTAGCATCCTTGAAGTAGCGTGCTACTTGTTAACAGAAGAGCAGAGCGTGCCCCTTGTGCCTCTTCCCAGGCTTGTCATTTGCCTAACTCTTACGATGTTAGCAGAGAGACGGTGATTGCAATGAGCAGGGAAATACTGCACAATTGTGACTGCAGGGTCCGCTATGAGAAGAGGAAGCAGAGCCAGTGGGGTGAGAACCTCCTGGGATGAGAAGGGGTCAGACACTTAAGAACAAAAGAAAATGTCTGAAAAGTCCCAAGGAGCAAGTGGGCTACCGTTGAGGACAGAAATTTCCCATGGATAAGGTCTCCTCTGTGCAGTGAAGAAAGACCCCAGAAACAGGGGGAAGCCAGGAGATACCCTATGCCACGCCATACAGTTTTATAGCTTTCAAATATATTCCCTCAGGGGATTTCAGGGAGAATAGTATGTACCCTCTGACAAAGCACAGACATCAGAGCCCGCTGTGGTCCCCAGATCGCTCACTTGGACATACCCGATACCCTGGATCATATATCAGCTGCTCTCCTGACCCAGAAAACTGCATGTCTCTTATCACCCACTCATGTCTCTTCATGAACTTGCCTCTTCTGTTGGCAACTTTATGAGTTTCTTTTTACCAGTGGGTGCTTTCTGACTACTGTAGCCTGTGTGGTTCAGCGAGGAGAATCTTCGTGGCATTCACTGAGGGTCTTGCTGTGTTCCAGGTGTGTGCTTGGTACTTTATCTGCTTTCTCTTGAATCCTCACAGTAACCCTTTTGGGTAAAATATTACAATCTTCATTTATACAAATGAGAAAATGAGACTCTGAGAAATAATTACTACTCACATGACTAGCAAGTGGTGGTCCTAGGACTTGAACCAGGGCCATAGGACTCCTCCTGCGTCCTTAGGTTCTTTCTGTTGCATCAGGTCAGCAGAGACATGGGGAGATGCCTCCACACCCTCCCCCCGCATCCGTGGCCGATGCTGCTAACTGGACTTGGTGGTTGTTTCCCTTCAGCTAGGACTATGCATAAGGGAAAAATTATGGTCCATGTTCTCAAGGAATTTTGTTCTGATGTAGGTTAAAATATAACACAGCAGTAGACTGACAATGTAAGGCTGTGAATAACACCCTGGCCATGAGTGCTAAAATAGTCAGGTAAGCTTATGAATCATAGGAAACATACCCACCATTCTTTGTCTGAAAGCTGGCCTTTCCCTTTTTAATTTCTTAGATTTCTCATCCTAGATAGTACTCATTGGTACAATCAACAAATATCCTCTAATATCCTCTCTGTAGCTGGGAGAACAGCACAGAACAAGACAAAACCCCCACTTTTGTGGAACTTAATTTCTAGTAGGGGGACAGATGATAACTACCAAATGCAATGCACACACACACGTGAGCTGGTCCTAAGTGCGAGGAAGAGTGGATCCCGGAGATGGAGAGAGGGCTGGGGTGTTACTCTATGCAGCATCATCAGGGAAGGGCTTCTGATAAGGAGGCACTGGGCAGAACCCAGGAAGAAGAAAGGGAGTCAGGAGGAGATGCCAACGATGCCCCAGGCAAAGGGAGCAGAAGGAGGGGCACAGTGTGCGTGTGGAATGCAAGGAGGTCAGCAAGGCTGGAGCTACGTGAGTGAGGGGGAGAGTGTTGGAGAAGGAAAGTCGGGGGAGACATCACGTAAAGCCTTGTAGTCGCCAGTAAGGATTTTGGTTTTTATTCCAAATAAGGTGAGAATCCACTGGAGAGAATCCACTGGGCAGAGGGGTGACGTGATCAGACTTGTGTTTTAAGATGACCACCTGGCTGGGCTTGGTGGCGTGCACTTGTAGTCCCAGCTATCTGGGAGGCTGAGACAGGAGGATCTCTTGAGTCCAGGAATTGGAGGCCACAGTGCACAGTGATCATGAGGGAGCGCAGTGAATAGCCTCTGCACCCCAACCTGGGCAACATAGTGAGACCCCCATCTTATAAATTATTTAAAAATAGGCAGGGCACGGTGGCTCACGCCTGTAATCCCAGTACTTTGGGAGGCCGAGGTGGGCGGATTGCCTGAGGTCAGGAGTTTGTGACCAGTTTGGCCAACATGGAGAAACCCTGTCTCTACTAAAAATACAAAAATTAGCCAGGCGTGGTGCCAGGTGCCTGTAATCCCAGCTACTTGGGAGGATGAAGCAGGAGAATTCCTTGAACCCGGGAAGCAGAGGTTCAGTGAGCTGAGATCGCGCCACTGCACTCCAGCCTGGGTGACAGAGTGAGACTCTGTCTCAAAAAAAAAAAAAAAAAAAAATTAAAATTAAAAAAATAAAAATAAAAAATAGACAAAATGAAATGGAATAAAATGACCGTCTGGCCCTTACCTGGAGAAGGGAATTCAGAGGCACCTTTGGCAACTAGGAGGCAAGTACAGTTGGTGCAGATGGCAGTCAGCAATGGCTTGTACCAGGAAGACAGTAGGGAAGGTGGGGAGAGGTGGCTGGATTCCTGATATATTGTGAAGGTGGAGCTGCCGGGATTCGTTCACAGATTGGACGTGGGGTGTTCCAGGTTGAATTGCATCCTACAGAATTCACACGCTGAAGTCCTAACCCCCAGTACTGAAGAATGTGACCATATTTGGAGATATGGTCTTTAAGGAGGTAATTAAGGTTAAGTGAGGTCATTGGGGTGGGACTAATTTCATCGGAGGAGACAATGGGTCTGGGTACAATCGGGGAACGGGGTCACAACCTAGAAACCAAACAGTGCTCTGGGACTCTGTATCTCTTAAGGCAGTGCCAGAGCTCTGCCCTCCAGACCTGTCCTTATTCATGGGGACAAGAGAAGAAGAGATTAGGACCCAGACATGCGCAGAGGAGACCCTGCAAGGACACAAGGAGCAGACGGCCATCTACAAGCCAAGGAGAAAGGCCTCGGGAGAAACCAGCCCTGCCCACACCTTGGTCTGGACTTCCAGCTGATTCTTGGATGAGCTGGTCCTCAGGTGCGGAGGCAGGACTGTGAGAAAGCGAATTTCTGTTTTTAATTCACCTGGTCTGTGGTATTTTGCTGTGGGAGTCCCAGTAGACTAATACATGGGGTTTGAGAGAAGAGGCGAGGATGATGCCCAGGAGCTGGATCTGTTTGAAGTCATGGTTGGGAAAGTTCAAGAGCTGGACATTTCCTTCACGACGTCCAGAAGCACCAAGACAGATTGTCCTGCTGGGTTTTACTCAGAAGAGTCTTCCAGTCCACTACACACCGCTGGCAGAGCCAGAACACAGTGCGACAAGAGTGAGACACAGACGTGCAGTCACAAAAGAAGAATCAGCTCCACGCCCAGCGTGATTGCCTTTTGGTGCCCATACCATGAGCTCCGGGCCCGCTGTTCCTTCCTCCCCTTCCTGAATCCCTTTTGTTCTGATCTAACCTGCACTCCCCCAGGCCAATGGATTTCAGTACATCTGGGGAAGGGAGTTGCTAGGATTTCTAGCAATCTAGAAACAAAACAGTGCTCTGGGACTCTGTACCTCTCAGTGAAACTGCCAGAGCTCTGCCCTCCAGGTCTGTCCTTATTCATGGGGACCCCAGAGGGACTCACTTGAACTTCTGGCCCATTCACCTGCTGCTCACCCTGCCAGCCCCTGGCCAGGCTGTAGCCACAGTTCCCACCATCACCTATATCTGGAAACTCTAATTCCTTGCCCACGACACTCTCACGGTCATCCTGTGGAAGTGAGGAGGCTTGCCCCGCCTCCAGACATCCAACTGGGTTGCTTCCTGCTCTTTCCAGTTCTCTTATATTTCTGACTCCTTATTAGAAAGGCGTCTTCCATGCCCAGAGCCTCTGCTGGAAGGCAGTTTGAGTCTCACTGGCTGAGCTGCAGTCAGAGTCTGCCCTGGCCCTGCCATGCATCTGTGCACGTCAAGCCCTTTTCCCTGCAGGCTTTGCCCCTTCTTCATCTAGAACACTGTTCCCTATTGCAATTTTCCTGAGCAAAGTGGATTTATGAATCTGTTTATCTATATCAGGGGTCAACAAACTATGCCCTGCCACCTATTTTCATAAATAAAGTTTTATTGGAACACAGTCACACATTCATTTTGCCATAAGCTGCTTTCATAGTACAATGGCAGAGAAGAGTAGTTGGTACAGAGACCATATGGCCTGCCAAGATGAAAATATTTACTATCTAGCTCTTTGCAAAGAGTTTGCCAATCTCTGTGACAGAGTTAGATTGGGTAACTCTCACAAAGTGGATAAGAGGATTAAAAAGACTACTGCAGAAATCAGGAAGCAAATAAATAAATCCACGGTGTACTGACAAGAATATTAACATCACAATAAAAAAGGGCAACACGAAAATAGTAGGACTGATATTCTCCCACCCACAGTACAAGCTGCTTGTCACATAAAACAATTATCCTCTAAC